TCCGATAGTTGCCTCGACAGGTGGACTCGTCAACACCGTCAAGGAAGGATTCACAGGGTTCCAAATGGGAGAGCTCAGTGTTGAAGTAAGCAAAAGTGGGATGTTTTCTGCAGTGTGATGAAGTGGATCCAAGTGATATCGACAAGGTGGTAAGAACCGTTACGAGAGCTCTTGCGACATACGGGACTCGAGTGATGGTAGAGATGATCCAGAACTGTATGGCACAAGATCTTTCATGGAAGGTCAGTAGTAGGTCATGTAGGAACAATGCAGAGGAGGTTTAGGAAGAAATGAATAGTATAGTAAATTAGTCCTTAAATTTTTTAACATTTTATTTTTCATGCCTAAACTATGACTCTTTCTAAACTGATCTCTAAACTTTTGAAGATTTTAATTTTATCTTCAAATTTATTCAAATATATATTTAGTTTTAATTATAAATTAACCCAAATTTTGTTTTCCTTAAAACATATAATAATATAATTCGGTCTAATAATTTTATTAGTAAGGAATGTGATTAATATATACTTATAGTTGTGATTAATATATCCGTATAGTTTTAAGATAAAATTGAAATGCTTAAAAAAATTAAGATTAATTTAGAAAAAGGGTCTTGTGAAACTGGAATGCTTAAAAAATATATAGAAAAAGGGTCTTATGAAACTGAAATGTTTAAAAAAAATGAAATCTGAAATGCTTAAAAAATATGGAATGTTAAAAAAAATTTGAGGATTAATTTGAAAAGAGGGTCATAATTTGAGGATAAAATTGAAATACTCAAAAGTTTGAAGACTAATTTATAATGATAGTTATAGTTTAGGGTTAAAATTGAAATAGTTAAAAGTTTAAGGACTAATTTAAAATGAGAGTCATAATTTACGTACATGTAATTTAGTTACCTCTAAAATAAATGATTCAAGTTCAAATTTATATTAATAATGTTATCTCATGATGTTTGAACTATATATAATATATTCAATATGTATAATAAATTGATAATATTATTATATGATGTTAGAACTATATATATAATTATATATATGCCTAAATGAATAAAAGAACATTAAATTATAATTCTGAAATAAATTTAAAATAATTTTATTATAAAAATAATTTAATATGTCTATTAATTCCATTTATATCAAGGGAAAGCAACGAATGGCAAACTAAGTCAATGTTGTCAAGAGTAATAAAGGATATAAAACTCTAAAATCCTAATTATATATATAAAAATTCTCTTAGTTTAATTATATATATAAATCACCGCCCACTGTCGACCATCATCGACCTTCGAAATAATAGTAAAATTATTTTTATATTAAATAATAATAAAAATATCACGTCATACAAAAATAATAATAAAATAATTCAGAGGGATCAAAACATGAACAATTCGAAAGTTCAGTGAGTAAATTAGAAAAATTGAAAGTACAATGAAAAAAATAGGAGAGAGAATAAAGTTTAGTAAGAGATGGTGTATTTTACTCAAGTTGATCGATTCTATTTTACAATTTAAGTTTTATTTGAAGAATTGGGTTTATGAAATTGGAGTCGAATTATTTGAGTTTCTGTTTAAATTTACTTGTAAATATGTATAATGTTACGGTACTATTTGATTTCAAATTTAAATGATTTTTATAACCAGCATATTTCTTTATATTTATCATATACCGTATACATATAACGTGTAAAGTTATTCAAGTTTTATCTTATAATTCGACTCGTAGTTTAAATTTTTTTGGACGATAGCAGGAAAGATATGGGCATGTGATGCTGATGATGGCGCCATTGTTATTGCTTAACACGTTGGTTTAACTGAGAATTCAATTCAGGCCTCCTTTGTATCAGATTCGTTGTCGCAGAACATAAAGGTAAATTCTATTCCCATTTGGAATATCATCAAATAGGCAAAGTGTTGTACTATACGTATATGGTACTTAAATCTCTAATGTTAACACATATAACCCTAAATCATGCAGACAATACATGATAACATTAGAATATCGTTTACATTTGGGTAAAGTACACAAATGGTCTCCCGATTACAGGATATTGCTTTATTAAGTTCTTCGACTATTAAAAGTTACAAAATGATCACTCGACTTTTCATTATGTTCCAAAGTCGTCATTTTTCCGTTGAAATAATTGCCTAAATTGGACGTTAGCATGATGATTGGCATATGATAGTCGTTTGGATTCCGGGATCATATTTTATCATATCACAATCAACATGTTAACATTCAACTCAGAATACCGTCAATTTTTTAAAGAAAAAAAAGAGTTTAAAATATAATGAATAGTCAGGTGATGATTTTGTAACTTTCAATGGTTAAAAGACTCAACAAAGTAACGCTCAACTTTTAATAGTCGATAGACTTAATAAAACAATACTCTATAATCAATGAATCATTTATATACTTTACTTTTTATATTTTTCAGTATATAATAATGATTATTATTTAATATATATGTTATGAAAATTACACAAATCTATCTATTTTAGCACTATGCATCATATTTAAGGTTTAAGACTTTATTTTTAAGATTTAGGGTTTTAGATTTTAAGATTTAAATAAACATGAAGTTAATTGTATTATATGTTCTCAGACTATGATATCTGTTTTAAATTGATCCTTAAACTTTTTAATATTATAATTAATCTCTAAACTATGACATTTATTTTGAGTTAATCTTTAATTTTTTAACATTCCAATTTTATCCCGAAATCATGACTCTTATTCTAAATTGGTCCTTAAACTTTTGAATCATCCCATACCATCCCCAAAATCATCCAAATATGTAATTAGTTTCAATCATAGTTAACCTAAATTTCTTTTTTGAAACATATAATGATATAACTTGGTCTAACAATTTTATTAACAAGGCATGCTATTAGCATATACGAATAGTTTGGGATGGAATCGAAATGTTCAAAAAGTTTAGGGACTAATTTAGAATGAAGGTTATAGTTGGGGATGAAATTGAAATGTTTAAAAGTTTGAGGATTAATTTAGAAGATAGTCATAATTTAGGGATAGAATTGGAATGTTTAAATATTTAAGAATTAATTTAAAATGAGATTCATAATTTGAGAGCGTACGATGCAATTAACTCATAAACATAGTTACCTAAACTTTAATTTACTTGGATAATAATCCTTAATTTTATGAGAAATTACTTGCTACATATAGTGTAAAATTTAGATCCCACAAAGATATCTATTTGAAATATCATTTGATAGAATGACTTTCCTATCATTTAATGGGATAAATAACTTTTATTGGAAAAGTCAACAAATAATAATACTTATATTTCCTTTTTTACCCTTATTCTTTTACACGTATTAAATAAATCTGTCAAATTTTTCAATCGTTTTTTGAAGGATAAATTTTTTTTGTTTCTCCTATTTTAAATATGATCAAATTTATCTCTTAAAATTACGTGTTTTGTCAACACGAGACAAATAATGGGACGAGGAAATATTTACTTGTCACTTTTATTTACGTGGGTGTGTATAGGGTTGTAAATGAGACAGATCGCGAGCTACTCGAGATCGATTCGATCAAGGCTCGATAAATACTCGGATCGAATGGACTTAACTCGAACTCGAGCTCGACTCGAGTTCTTAACGAGCCGAAACGGGCTACTTGATATTCAACTCGAAAAGCTCGTGAGCAGCTCGAAAATATAATATATTAAGATTTTATTTTTCAAAAATAAATTATTAATAATATTAACATTTATGTATTGATTTTTTTTTTAAAATACAGTAAGATTTTCATATATTTAAAGTTCATGTTCGAGTTTGAGTTTGAGGCTTAAATCGAGTTAAGTTTAAGATTTTTTTTCATTTCGAGCTGCTCACGAGCTTCAGTTCAAGATTTTGAGTTCGAGCCGAGCTTGAAAATTTTAAGCTCGCGAGTTTTCGAGTCGAGCTTCATTTCAGAGTTTTCGAGTCGAGTCGAGCTCAGCAATACTCGAGATCGACTTGGCTCGTTTACACCCCTAGGTAGGGTTGCACAGAAGTCGGATTTCAATCCGATCCGGATCGTTTTTTATCCGATCCGATTTTTTCCCATAGAAAAAAAATCGGTTTATAAAATAACAGGTTCGGTTTCTAACCGGTTTGGAGGGCCGGATATCCTAACCGGTGTAATCGGTTTCGGTTTTAAAAAAACCGGTTATAAAAAAACCGATTTTAATATTATTAAAATTACATCGTCATCAATTGCAACAAAGTTTACGATATGTTGTTGAAAACATTTTGATATTTCGATATAACAAATTAAGTTAAATGAATTTTAAGATTTTCCAAATGATTTTCTAAGTATATTCGATATAATTATTCGAATATCAAAAAACGGTTTAGGGTGGTAAAATGGTAATTTTTAAAGAAAAAAAGGTCAAAAACGGTCACAAAACCCTCCCCCAACGGCTATATTAACGACTAATTTTTTAAACCCAGACCGGTTTTTTTCCCCCGGATAAAAACCGGTTTTTTATCCGGTAAAAAACCGGTCTAGGTTTTTTTTTCTCCAAACCGGTTAAAATAACCGGTTTAAAAAAATCCGATCTGGTTAAAAAAAACCGATTTTTTGCAAATCCGGTTTCGGATATTTTTTTCGCAAAATCGGATATTCAGATTTTTTGTGCACCCCTACCCCTAGGTGTGTATGCTTTTCTTGGTTTTAAAGTCTTTATGTTTATACACTGCAGGGTGTTAGGTTTGGTGGAGAGGGAAGGCATCTCATATACTTCTAGTTTAGGTCATAATAATTTGCTGCGATCATTGTTTATTCCTCATCTCCCTTTTGATTATTGTAGGGACCCCTACCGATATGTAACACTATTATTTTCTATATCGATTGGAGCTCGAACCAACAACCTCCTGATTTATGTCGTCGTTCAATTCAGTTCAGAGTTGGTGTAGTATTAGTGGTAGGAGAATCAAATAATCTTATATATAACTGTTACAGTTAAGAGCTTCAATGAGAATAAGATTCCACAACCATTCTTTCCTCCTTTACAGAGATAAAATTCCCAGAAAGGTACAGGGAAATGGGATGGAATAAAGTGGAACTTGATGCCCTACAATTCTAAAGTATTGACATTCTACCTAAACATCTAACAATGTCTTTAAGGACTATAAAATACACCAGTCCGCTCTATAAAGGAGGTAACAATATATCCTATTACTCTGTAAAAAAATTATTTCATCAAAATGAATAAACAAATTAATGAATTATTCATTCAACTAATCTTCGACCTACCTCTGAGTTGTGTCACCCTTTCCCGAGATATGGACCACCGGTTTCGTACTCGCATGCGGGGCGGGGCGGGGCTTGTCCGGCTTGCTTGTATCTAAGTAAATCATCTGTTCGCAACGTATTATAACAGTAACTGTCGCAGGTGAGCCCGGCCTAACCTCAATTGGAGGTTGCTCCATTTGCGAAACCGGACGGGGCCTCAACAGATGGAATGACTTTACCATGCTTCTCTTGTCTCTGCCTTGGATACAGTTCTAACTCTCTTATAGAACAACAGATAAGCCGCTGAGGTTTTGATGTCGGATTCGTCGACAGGGGAAACATGACTATCGTCAAAATGGTACCATCTATTCTCCCCGATCAACTGCGAAACCAGATTTTGAACGGAAATCAGTACGTCATATAGGAGGCAACTCCAAAGAACCACCAACGTCATATCCGTAATCTAAGATATAGAGATGCAGATGTAGAATTAAGTGCATGAGTACTAGTCAAGTAATTTATAACTTTACCTTAGCATAGGCAGTGTAGTGACCTCCACCTAGTTCACCATAATGGTTGCTTATGGCATATAGCTCATACACACAAGATTGTCCATCTTTTTTCATGACATATTTGCTCAAATCAAGATTGTGAATTGGGAAATTCACAAAAGTGCCGATCTTGTTCTTTAGGTATCTGCCGTAAGTGAAGCGTTTCAAGTGAAAAACGATTATCTCCGGTAGCATCCACAGGTCTAGCTTTTTTATAGCTTGCCTATGTTCCTTGCAACAAGGACAATACCTGCATTTATCATTTAGGACATTACACTAATGCATAAATTCTGGTACAAGTAAAAGAGAACCAGCAAATTTCTCATCCAACGTACATTTAAACAAACGTAATTTAGGAACATACCACATATCATCCGGACCTAGAGGTTCTTCCATCAAGAAAGCATCCAAACACGAAGATAGTGAGATGGCTTCTTGCCGAGTCTTTTTTGCAACAAACCCTGATTTATGAACCTTTGGTATGTCCTTCAAGTAGCTGGAATCGTATAACTCCTGTTCTTTGTCGGTCCAATCTAGCACAACCTTTAAGATCTTCCCGGATTCAAAGATTGTATCCTTCTTAAAAGCTGTGAAGCTCGTAAGCGTATCATCAGTTAAAAGGAGTGGGAGCGATAAGTCTGTGCTTGATGCACCCTCAAGTTCTGCCTTCTCAACTGTCTGAGCATCGGAACTACTGCATTGTAAATCAAGACCGTCTGTGGAAAAGCCATTTTCCTTGCCAATAGACGCCTTGGCCGAAGAGTACATTTTTTTGAAAGGTGACAGTACTTTGAAAACAGCACTTACAATATCAGCTCCACTTGGTTGATCTTCCCCCAAATATGTAACCAGTGGAGTCCCAAAAAGCTTTGCACCACTCTTACGATACTCTGATGCAGTTCTGGAAAGCCGAATATGTCGGTTTAAAATTTTAACATAACGACGGAAAAGTAAAAAGGAAAGCAAAAAACAGTATAGCTTGTTCAACAAATTTACTCCCCGCCCTCAAACAACATAGGCCAAATCTACCTCTTTCTCTTAGTGCTAAGTACGGATTCGGATTGATATGAAACTACTTTCTTCCTCTTTGGAAAAAGTTAAGTCGAAATAAGAAGCCGAAGAGGCTCATTCCTTACTACCTAGTAGACAGCAAAAGTCATGAAAACTTCTGCAAATTTTCTTAAAAATTTATATGGTGCACATATATGGATGAACTCTGCAGACTTGAATGGTTTCGACTTAAAAATAGCAAAAATAAAAATAATGATCAATGGAAATGGAAATGGCAATTATAGATGAAACTATGGACCCTTTCCAAAATATCGAGGCGTATGCGGATAGTAAATCCGATTAAAACAATATAATTTGCTTGGGATAAGGAAAACTGCTAGAGAAATGAAGCAAACTTACTTTTCCGGACATCGGTGAAAAATTACTAGCTTAGTTTTTCCCATCCCTTTTTTTGGATATCTAAAGGCCACAATATGCTCATCATCCTTTATTGAAATTAAAGGCTCCAAAGGCATCTCCAAATATCGATAAATCTTGTTTTCGAATACCTGAAAAAGAATATCTACTACTTCTGCCCATCAAGGTGATAACTTAAACGGATAAAACGAAGTTAATAAGCAACTCAAGATATGTTTACCTCTGCAAGAAGAAGGTTCTCGTCATTCTTCAAGGAACATGCACGACCTAATGCCAAAAGGAGATCTTTGCAGAAACCATTTTTCAACAAAGAGACAGTATATGGCATGGGGAGACCACTTCCATCACCATAAAACACTGTCACTGTCATTGTCCTGGTGATAGTTGAAGGTAGTGGCAATGATAAATACATGAAGGGGTCAAACGTAATTGAAATTGTGCTGCAAACCGGGCAAACCATTGTAGACTTATATTGACCCTGGAAGGCAAGAACAAAAAAAAGCGAACTTCTAATTGGTCATTAAATTTCTTAGAGTGCACCTTCCAACAACACTACAAGGAAGAAAATACAAAATGCAGCTCTAAATCGAAACATGCAGGTAAAATAAGAAGATTTATTACTTGGAAAACATCCACAATCACTGAATCATTCCGAGCCTTGTGATTTCTCCAACACTCGACCGAAACTTCCTCATCAGGACGACCATTGGAATCCTTCATTTCAATGTAAGGCTTTTGTTTGACTCGATTCAAGTCTTCATGCAGTCCATCCAGTAGGAAGGCCAAAAGTTCCTAAGGAGATTACACTCGACCATTAGAGAAAGCATAAACATGATAAACAAAAAATTAACAAAGATTAACGCTTATGTCGCTTTTACAGTATTATGCTAAAGGTCCATACTAATCTATACTAGTTACTCAATTGCCAAAAATGAAGAACAAGTAGAAAGACATCAAAATATACTTGAGAATCGTGCTGGTTATAACCACCAAACTGGGGTGCGAACCGAGAAAGTTTTCCCTTGAATACACGTGGTGCAATCGCCGTTCGTCCAGCGGAACATAATTTCCGTAACAACTCACCATACGCAATTGCAAGTTCCCCCTGCACAAGTACAACTTATGTTAGAGATTTCGTGAAGTGCTTTCCTGAAGTGCTCAAGAGGAGGTGTCGAAATAATCCAAAAGAATGGTTCACATTAAGCTAAAAATACCTTGTCGTTAGCACTGCAACTTACATGCATTCCCAAAGGATTTTTCGTGTTGATCTCATCCTTGTAATCTTTCAAGAAATACTCCATCAGAGGTGGGGTGTGCACTAAACATTGGAGAGCACTATTCATAAAACAAGTATTTCCCAGGTTCTGCAATCCAGCCAAAGCCACCTTCTCTCCTTTTTTGGAAGAGCTAGTAGCGTCTAAACCATCATCCGTCTCTGTTAATCCCGAGCCTATGTAACTTGCCGGATACAGATTTGATCTGTGACCCGAGGAGTGACCGTTGGACAAGGTTGGCCCTCTAGCAATTGCCGAGGATGATCCTGAATGTTCCAAGGAAACGGAAGCAAGTTTATTTCCTGCAGAATCCAAGCCAAATCTCGAAGAATGATGCACATCGACTTGCTCCAGAAGAATCTGTAAAGTTTCAGAAAATATGACGATAAATCGAAACCAAATAGAAATCGAAAGAGAGAAGGACAAACAAAAAGACCCTCACATCTTGATCCATCTGCAAGTTTACTTCCTCCAGGCTTTTGTTCGAAACTAACAACTGTGCATGCTTTCTCTTGTTGAAGTAATCCCATAGGCGAGCCTAGCGATATATAACGATCAGTAACATGTAATCGAAGTTGAATTAAAGCAAACAAATTTTCTTCTAAAAGTATTCAATTAAACAATACATACTTAAAAGAGGGGGGAAAGTAACGCTCACTTTATCCTGCTCGATACCTCTAAGTGCACAGACCTTCTGGAAAAGCTCGGTTACAGATGCCTAAACACACCATCCAACCAAATAGAAGTGAGGAAAAGGAAGAGATATATCCTGCATTGTCTACAACAAAATTGGAAATTTCAAGTACACTTAAGACCTGAAATAAGTTAAGAAACAAAAAGGCAATCGGAATCACTTTAACAGCCGGTTTCACTTAGAATTATTTCCGGCTTCATCTTAGATGCCAAAACTTATGGCGAACAGACATCATTACTAGAAGTCTGTGTTAACAAAAAAATTATAGTTATTATTTTCCATTTGGCCTGATCTAGATAAAAGAGAGGAGAAAAACGAAGCCCGTGCCAATAAAAAGCCGTACCTTTCTGCTTAACCTTATAATTGACTGACTTTCATCTCTTGAATCTATCAAGTTGAGACAAAGTGGGTAAACCTCCACATCGAAATTTCTGTGATATACACCCTGCACAATCATCTTTCTTGGCAATGCTGGCCCTCCTCCATACCTAATGAAAAGAACAGATATATGTCTCTAAAACAGAAAAGATACGTGATCGAACTAGAACGGAAAAGATGGGCACATTAAGGTATACAGCATACGATCAAGTTCCTTCCAACGACGAAAGCGTGTACCATTTACACTCGAGATACCAATACAAAAAGTTCAAGAGGTGAAGCATTACCATTGATGAAGTTTTTCCCAAACACCTTGCGTAACCAATACATAGTCCTGCCCTTCCATCAACATTCTTCGAAGCTGAATCTCATTATTTTCCTTGCAATCACAATCACCTCCGTTTTCAACAATGTCGGAGTTATCGATCGGACCAGGCCTTTCTTCCATCAAAGAAGAAGCCTCATTCGAATACCCAGAATCAGAAGATCGATCCCCATTCAAATTTTCATCAGTGCCCATCTGAACATACCTCTCCCACCTTTGAAACCATCTGCAGAAAGCCCGAATTACACGATTTCATACTATTCGCACATCGAAAAAACCCAATTGCATTCTCCTAATAGATTTCCCAAACAAAAACATCAACAAAGATCTGAAATTTCTTCAAAAAAAAAAGAACCTGCTTGAAATCACGAAATACAAGTTGCCCTCTTTCAAACATCGCTCCGATTCGTTTCTCAAATCAGTAACGATCTTATGTTCTTCCTCGGGCGTGCTAGGCAAGCAACTCGCCCTCTGTCCCATTGTCAACCCCGAACCCGAAACCTCCATGATCGTCGAATCACCAACCTACGGTTCAAAATTCAACCCCAGAACGATTAAAAAACGGTACAATGCAGGGATAATGAAACCCTAAACGGATCGAAAGAGACTAAAACTCACCGTTTTCTGAAGGATCTTGTCTTTCTTCCTCAACTTTGAGTAGCTCACCTTTCTATAAGCCTCGACGATAAAACGGGAAAAACCCCAAATCATAGATTAAAAAAAAGGGGTGTCTTTTCTTCGTTTCCGCTGTGAAAAGATTAAACATAAAACATTGAACTCCGGTTTTATAGGAAGAATTCCCCCTTTTATTTTTAGTTGAAGCTATCCCTTTCTTGAGAAAAAAATGATTCAAAACTTTTTTTTTTAAACAATGGTTCGAGTTATGCCATGTTTTCTTTTATATCAAGCAAAAAAAACAAACATGAGCAAGATTATAACGCATGCCTTCTTTCTCCTAGTAAAGACCAAATGAACAAGACAGGCTGGTTGATGAACATATGAAGATCTTGCTTTGTCCCTTCCAACCATCAACTTTGGTACGAAGACGAGTTATAGTTGTAAAATAAATGTTTAAATTATATTATATATATTTTTTTCAGTAATTAAACTTATGATGTTATAAATATTATCATTGTGGTCTTAATTGTCGTTAAAATTATTGTTGAGTGATACATGTCACATTTTGATAATTTTAAAATTTTTATTTTAAATTAAAATATTAAAATTATATTTTAAAAAAGCAAAATTTTTGAAATAGTTATATAATTTTGAAAATCTTCATTTCAATATCTAAATGCACGTCGACTGTCATCATTTATTGTCGACGAAGCTCTACTCGACCTCGTCTCCCCCGACGATAAAAATCCTATGAAATTGCGACCAATCAATGTTTTGTACCCCACGAACTCTAGGTTGAAAATTGCGACCTCACGTAATTCTAACCGTTAATCAACGACAACTACTTCAACATATAGCTACGAAGATGGAAGAGACTAGGTCAGTAGCGATGGTCGTGGTCGGTAAAGATGACGACGACAAATTAAGATAGGAATTTAGTATTTTTAGGGATTTGGAGTTTTTCTTTGTAATATAATAGAAATTATGTTTTTTATGAATATAATAATATTTTTATTTTTTAAAAAAATTAAAATTTTCAGAATGTGACATGTGTCTCAAAGTTACGATCTGAGCCCCTAAAATAATAACTTTTGTAATTAGACATCTCACTCATTCAAAAAAATTATACACTTATTTAGGAAAAAATAGTATAATTTAGATATTTATTTCACAATTAAGCCTTTATACTGTTTATATATATATATATTTATCGAAAATCTATAGAATTATGTAAGCTTATTTTTTTCTAATTTTTTTGAAATTCATTTATTTTAACGTAAAATTTTATGTTCGTCCCGATTAAACGAAGATCTCTGATTCTTCGATTGAGAGAGCCTATCCCCCTTCTTCATGAGGCGAACAACAGTAGCATCATGGTTTTCCAATAAAACCTTATTTCCCATGGTAGATATGGCCATCATTTATGGCCCAAAGTTCGAACTTTGAGGGTGGAGTCCGACGCTACCTTCTCTCAAACAAAGAACAAATTTATCTCAACATGCTTGAACTTGGAGTATATAACCGAATTTGTGAACAATATCAACAAGAGGAAGTCTAGGGTAGGGGAATTTAAAATTACTGGACCCGTAACATACACAATCCGTAAACTTACTCATCATGATAAAAAGTTATTTGGTATTTTTCTTTAAAATTTTAGAGACGAGTAATCGATCCGTTATTTTTAACGAGTTGTATGATAGATTTCTCGTTCTCAATTCTAAAATTATTTCACTCGACATTCTAAATTATTTTTCTTTAACATTCGAAAATACGAGTTTCCCTCAAAAAACCCTACCATGTTAACAAAAAGGACCAATACTCAAATAAGTGTCTAAATTGTACTTTTTTCCCCAAATAGGTGCCTAAAGTATTTTTTTGACTCATCTCATTTCTTAACGTTATAAACGTTAGGTGTTCGGGCCGTCAACGGTGTTAATTTCCCCATTACATGACACATGTCACAATCCGGTAATTTTAAAAAAAATTGTTTAAAATTAAATAATTAAAAATATATGTTTTTTTAAAAGAAAACTCAAATTTTGAAATAAACACAAAATTTTGAAAACCTTCATTTCAACCCCTAAACCTACACCGCCTACCGCCCTTGGCTGTCGATGAAGCTCCACCTGACCTCCCCTCTCCTGACGACCAAAACCCCTATGAAATCATGACCAATTGATGAAGAATCGACGTTTTATACCCCACGAACCCTAGGATGAAAATCGTGATCCCACGCACTCCGATGGAAACTACCGCACGCACTCCGATGGAAACTACCGCAACCTATGATTTGGAGGTGACAGAGACTATGTCGGTAGTGATGGTCGTGGCTGGAAAAGATGGCGGAGGTTTAAGTTTAGGATTTGAGAATTTTAGAGAATTTTGAGATTTTTTATAATTTAAGAGAAATTAGAGTTTTTTTATAAACATAATAATATTTTTTAATAAAAAATAAATAAATATTAAAATTACCAGATTATGACATGAGTCACTTAACGGAGAAAATTAACGTCGCTGACGCCCAAACATCTAAAATGGTAAAATTTATAACGTTAGGTATCTGGATGAGTCAAAAAATACTTTAGACACCTATTAAAAAAGCGATATAATCTGAGCACTTATCTTAGTATTAAACCTAATAAAAAACGCTTCTTATATAATACACATTTACCAAAAGAAATTCATTTCTCTAAATAAAAATTGTTTGACTACTATTTAACTAAATAAACAAAGGAAAAATTATGTATTTATTACTTAAATTATCAATTTGGGTCCATTTGAGTATTTAAACTTTTAATTTTTCAAAATCATATCTACAGATTAGTTTTCATTTCATTTTAGTATCTGTTGTCAAAAACTTATGCATTTAGTACCTAAACTATCAGTTTTGGTCCGTTTTAGTACAAAAACTTTCAATATTTGCAAAACTTAATGTTAAATTTGAACATGATACTAAAACGAAACAAAAACTAAAGTTTTTAAGGACATGATACTAAAATGAAATAAAAACTAAATAGTAGGTATGATTTTGAATTTTTTTTGTAAGTTTAGAAAACAAAAACTAAAGTTTTTAAGGACATGATACTAATATGAATTAAAAACTAAATAGTAGGTATGATTTTGATTTTTTTTTGTAAGTTTAGATATTAAAACGGACCAAAACTGATAATTTACCCTAAATAAAATAGGTATAGGTATTGTTCAACTCCCAACAGTATTATCCTAGTACAGAGGATAAACAACAGTAACCAATAACAAATTAGAATGGTTGTTGATGAAGTATTCAAAGTATTTATACGGTATCGAAGTAATATAGCCTTCGAGATCATTCAAGCATGAACAAGGGCGTGGCTGGGGCGGCGCGAACTGAGCGATCGCGCAGGGCCCCAAAAAAGTATATATATATATAGTGGCATTTTTCCAATAAACGTCACTATAGATGGACCTATTGCGACGTTTTTTCAAAGAAACGCCACTATTATTGTGCAACCCAAAAAAAGCCCAAAAAGTATATTATAGTGGCACCACTATAGATGGACCTATTGCGACGTTTTTTTTAAAAAAACGCCACTATTGTTGTCCCGAAATCGAATATATCTAAAAAATAGGGCCCCTTCATAAGAATTTGTACAGGGCCCCCGAAAACCTAGCCACGGCCCTGAGCATGAACATATGATTATGGCACTTTATCCAAGTAGACAATGTCATGAACCACCTTGTGGTGTTGCTGGAATAAACAGTGTCGCTGTATTCTGAGGAAGCCACGGTTGTGATACACCGCCGAGAAAGGAGGAAGGAAACTGAGCATTAGGAAGTGTGGTTTTCATTCAGCTCATATCAAAGAACTGCAATACACCACAAACCATTAACAGAGTTGATAGAAAGGACAAAGTATAAAGATATTGAATAATCGACATGCATAATATATCGTAAGTGGATTCATCGATGGAGCGTATAATGGTGCTGTGCCGTTCTCTGATGTTAGAGTAGCAGAAGCAAAACTAGCATGGGAGTCGGCTGTTTGGATGCCATCATTATCATGGTTCTGCAGGAGCAGACATTTTAAACATAAGTTGCGGAAAAGCAAAAATTTTGGCATCATTAGAAATAAAAGTAGCGAACCTCCGAAATTGCCAAGCCCAAATGTTCATCAATGGTCGCCAAATGATTGTATGTTACTGCTTGTGGGTCAACAGGAAGTGATTCAGCAAAATCATTAAAACTTAAAAGCTTTCCATGACTGTTCAAAGACAATGGGTCACTTGACTAAACAGCACGGCTGTGTTTACGGTTGTGCTTCGGTAAACAGAACCCACTTGGATGTCAAAGTGTTGGTTGCAGATGAACCTGAAGATTTCATTTCTGTCTTGCAGAACTTTTAACCATAACAGCAGCATCCTTAGCAACCTTAGCGGCCACTCGTGCAAGAGCTACTGCTTCAGCAGCCGCGGCAGCAATTACGGTCTCATCACTCGTAAGAGGATTTTTAGTTGCTAAAGTTACCCCGATGCTTGCCAGCAGATAACGATTTGTCTCATTTTTTTTAATGATCTCCGGAAAACAGATATATCAAAAGAAAAACACCATCTCAAACGGCTCTAAGAGCAAAACCTACATACTTCCAGCTAAAATGCGCGAGGTTCATGTATGATATGAAGTTTACTCGAACTTTACAGGTTCATTGTCTAGCACGATATTAGCATAAAATGGATGATTAATAAAGTTTCTCTTGAGTTAACGAACTAGACGAACGAATAAAATATTTCCATTTTGGAAGTGCAACAGTAAATACCCTATGATTTTCCGATCAAGTTCTCAACATCATATCCTCAAAACTAACAAGACTGACCTCGGAGGGTGGACCAGTTGCCCCTGTATATGTCCATGGTCTATCTGTCACAACTGAATTAGAATGAGCCTCAAAAGATTGTAATCTTAGCTTCTGTACATCAAGCACTGTGGTGGTCGCTGTTGATGTCGATGAAGTGGTAGATAGTAGATACAACACACTGAGCCCGGAAACATATAGATTCTTTATGTTTTGCTGCAGGTTCAGCCAAGAAATCATGAGAAAACGAACACCGCCAACCGATGCCATTACCAATTAGGACAACGAGCATACGAGAAACATTACAAGCCACTGAAGCTCTAACATTTTATGTTAAATAATTATACACGTAACAACGCAAACGAAAACATTACAAACTACAATAGCTTTATCCAGGGAACACTTGTGATGTGGGGCTGATGAAGATACAAACATACGAATAACAAGCACCTAAGCCAGCAGATACCGATCCGCTAAACATTAGAGCATCAGCAAACGTGCCTATCGGCATAACTTACATTGTTACAGACGCGACAAAGCCACATTAAATTCTTGTTTGTGTCTGATGAAGGCAATTACCGTACGGAAACACACAAATCCGGTAAAATATGGTCCGAATCATCATAGAAATAAAAGGCATTTGCCACCAGATCATGTAAATTCATCAGATTAAGTACTGTACTACACACCCTTCATAGTTGTAATTAAGATATGTATATTGACTTAGTGGCATTTAAATCACTAGGAAAAACAGACACAAAAAATTCAGTTTGAAACAAAATCCAACTAAATGCTATGACATTGACTTTTAGACACTCAATAAGTTAAGTAAAAAGGCATACATTATAGTTTTTTTTACGGAGTCATAACTATGTTTTAACTTGATCTTAATTCTTAAAATAATAAGTCTAATCATAAAAGATAATGCATCATCCTATATTATATTATATTATATTACAAATAATTAATAAAAGTATTAAAAATTCGTAATATTTTCAAAATACCATATTAATCCCATATAAGATTTTCTGCATGCGTTGTCTTTACTAAAATTGACATATCTTGAGTTTCCAATATTGAATTTAAGCGATTCAATAACCGTTGAAAAACTAAGAGATAACTAGTTTTAACTCCAGAAGACATATTAACCATAAAACATCATGATCTCATTCGAAAAGCAATCACAAGTATGTTACTCTGTTGATCTTTTTTTTTTCAAGGCTTGACGTGTGCCTAAATCTTTTAACTTGAAAATTACCAAACCATCATTGACCGGTAAAACCTAAAACGGTACCGCACCGGTGTGATGGTAAACAACAGTAACCAAAATCCATATCACACGTCATAGTACAGAGGATAGAGGTATGTAGCCAAGCATCATAGTACATACATATCATGTCATACATACATACAAAGAGAAAAGAATGTACAATATTGTATTCTTCTTTCAAGAAACCATTCTCTTTGACCCTTTCTTCTTCTGTTTTCTTCTGTCCGTGTAGTAGACTAGAACCCCTAAAAGAAGGAATAAGAGAAAAAAATTTACAGACGCCGTAATAAATGAAAGATCTTGCCTTTTTTTGACTGCCTGTTACTTTGTTTTCTGCTTTTTTTTATTTCCATTTCGTTTTCTCCGTTGTGATCTCAAGGTGAGTTCGTACTTTTGTCCATCATCAATGGAAGATTAATGTAGGCTCATCATTTCTATATTCCCGACATTTCAAACTTGATTTTTTTTTAAAAAAAGTTCATCTTTTTTTTTTTAGTTTGGGTTTATAAATTTCAGGTCTTTTGTGTTTTGGGAACAATCATCAGGGCCATGGCAGTAGTTGAGAATGCTTCGAACCAAGATGCAGCTGCACCAGCAGTGACAGCGAACGATCAGGATCAGTCAAAGCAAAACCAAGTTCGATCAAGGATTGATCAGGGGTTGTACAACACGATTGGTGGAACCCATTCTCAATCCAACGGTGGGGATGAAGTTGGGGATATCTTCAAGGGAGAGATGAGGGAGTTGCAAGAACTGTTCTCTAAGCTTAACCCCATGGCTGAAGAGTTCGTGCCTCATTCAGTTGCTAACCATGGATTCAATGGAGGGTTTTTCATTAACAACTCTTTTCTGCAAAACAACAATAATATCTTAAGGAATGGCCAGGCAAATGGCAACGGTGCTGGTAGGCGGGTATGCCATCAAAAACCCATTTTTTTATTGGTTGCTTTGTTTACTGTTAAATTCAGAACATTAATGCACGAAACAAGCGACCTCGTAGGTTAAGAGATTGTTGTTATTCTTGAGGTCTTAAGGTCGAGAGTTTTTGAACATATATTATATTTACCTCGGACTAATAAGAAAAAGAACATTAGTCATCTTGGAGTGAAAAATAATTAGTATAGAACAAAATGAATAAAATTTCTTTTTTCAGGGTTTGGAGGATGAAGATCTTCAAGCATCAAGATTTTCTTTTTAGATATGATATACTTTTAGCTTCTTTTTTGTATTGATTTGTTGATGCTTGAATGCATCTGCATAAGAAAATTTTGTGTGTTTCTTTGGTTTAGTGGAGGTGTTTGTTCATGTACATTTTAAGTGGTATAAAATTTCAAATTCCAATATCCAAATATTAGCAAATTTCTATCATACATCATCTCAATTATGGAAGAGAGCATCATCTTATCCCATGGATTTGTTCATTGATTTTGTAATTTTATCAGAAGAAAATTTTCAATCAAGGTAAAGGGAGATTGAACAACAGGACAAGTATGGCCCAGAGAGAAGAGATTATCCGTAGAACTGTTTATGTGTCTGATATTGACCAACAGGTATGCATTCTCAGCATTTTGAGCTTGTTAGGATGCTGCTGCAATTGGTTCTGTAATCTCTTCTCATTGATTTTTGGATTCATTTAGTTGTTTTCTTGTCCGGATGTAGGTCACTGAAGAGCAGCTTGCTGGTTTATTTGTGACTTGTGGACAGGTGATATGGTGTTTCTTTGTTTGTTTTAATAGTTTTCATCAAAATGATGTATCTCAATGAATTTTGTTTCTTATGAAGGTGGTTGATTGCCGCATTTGTGGTGATCCAAATTCTGTACTTCGTTTTGCCTTTATCGAATTTACTGACGAAGGTGATGTTCCTAGAGTTATTTGATGCATAATTTAGGGGATTGAGAATATAACTGTAAAACTCAATATTTACATGCTTTACTGCATGGTGGTTTGGCTGTTCAGAAGGTGCACGATCTGCTCTGAATCTGGCAGGGACCATGCTTGGATTCTACCCTGTTAGGGTGCTACCTTCGAAAACAGCTATTGCACCTGTTAACGCAACGTTTTTGCCGAGGGTGAGGCCCGTTGCTGCCATTTATCGTACTGGAACTCATTGATTACTCGAGTCTTTGAAGCAAAATTCATTCTCCTCGCCTATTCTGGTTTCTTTCTTATATATTTGTAATTTTTTATTTCAATTCCAGAATGAAGATGAACGTCAGATGTGTGCAAGAACTATCTACTGTACTAACATTGACAAGAAGGTTAGGAGCTTTTAGCATTTTGGAATGCCGACTATGAATAATAATCCCGATCACCGATAAGGGGGCCCTTTACAATTTATTATATTATTTTACTATGTGCAGATTACTCAGGCTGATGTTAAACTCTTTTTCGAAACAGTTTGTGGGGAGGTTTGTTATCCCTTAAATACACACTGTTCTGTTTCTTCTATTTATCACATCAAAACCTGTGTGGGAATGCATTTAAATGGACATCTTGTCTGATGTAGGTTTATCGCCTGAGGTTGCTGGGGGACTATCACCATTTAACTCGCATTGCTTTTGTCGAGTTTGTAATGGTAATTGTTTCTTCTTCTTCTTCGTTCACACAATTTTTTGAACATGCCTGAACAAGTATTCTCTGGTTTCTAACGGTTTGATGAGATAAATGAGGGCTTTTTCGGTCTGTACATGACCACATTTTAGTTCTTAAAGATTTAGGCTATATGGTGAAGATGAAGTTTGTGTTAGCTCTAAATATTGGGGTTTCTGATCCTTTTCTAACCTACAACTTTGTTACAAAGTTCAGGCTTGTTTTAGTAGGAAGTAGGGGAAACAAGAACGGAAAGCAAGTAGTGAAACGAAACTAAAGACTGTTCCATTTTGTTGATTCTTGGGGAATGCCGAAAATGGTCCTTTTCCCCTTATCTTAGTAAAGTTCTTGTTAAAGTTTAGAGAGGAACGTTTTACGAATTCTTGTTGTGTTTGGATCTTCCATGAAGCTCGAGGGCTTTTAGTGTATTCAATTGAGATATTGAGGGAAGCATATTGGAACAACTTTCCTTTTGAATTCACCTTTTGTTTGTATCCTTGCTATTTGCTAGTTACTGTAACTTGCATGATAAGGAAAAGAATGCTTTTGATCAGCAAATGATTCTGCTTGTCACTACCGAAGTATTTATTTGACGTGTCTTGGATTGGAATGCCAAGTGATATTGTAAATTACAGAGGCTTATCGGAGATGTTCTCTAATTTTTGAAACGAGTTTAAAGTTGGCGAGTGATCTGTTGCCCCTCTTAAATCATCTGATGATTAGGTTGCTTCAGTGTTCATGAGTGAATGAATATGCAATCTTTCTCTTATTCACTTGCAGGCTGAAAGTGCGATCGCCGCTCTCAACTGTAGCGGTGTGGTTCTGGGATCACTACCCATAAGGTCAGATTCCCGAGTTTCCATCATTACTCGAAATGATGTTTTCTTCTTTTCTTTCCTTTTGGCCATTAATTTGTCTCCAAAGATCAATTATCTATTTTGATTGTGTTCTAAGTCAACCTTTGTTGTTCTTGTCTATGATCAGGGTAAGTCCATCCAAGACCCCAGTTCGGCCACGCACTCCTCGCCTTCCCATGCACTGAATGTCCCGGACCCTACTGATTTAGTATCGGTTTATATATATTTAGAATCCATACGCGTATCCATGTAAAGATATTTCATATGTTGATGGTCTGCCAGTTTATATATAATGTATATAGTCCGCCGCTGCGCTTGAGGGTCGTTTGAGTCATCTTCTGTTTGTCCTTGGCTCCTTGCAACTAACAGTATATAGAGTTGGATGGAACTTGGAGGCTTTGAAATGATATGCATTATTACTCACTAATGTGGACTAGATTTTGCCCCAAATTAAGCTTTTCTTAGCACATCCTGGAAGTTACAGGTTATGTGATTGATGGAGTGGTTCTTTCGTACTTTTCTGTCACTGGTAATGTGCAATCTTCGGATTGGTGACCGGTGCAGACGGCTGCTCTATCGAGCTTTCTTCCCACCTTTCCTATTGTACTTGTAAATTTGTGCATTTCACATGATCATATACTGTATTATCTTGACATTACATTAGAGAATACAGTGTCACGTAAATATGTTACTACAAACAGCCCATGGATTGATTCAACAGCTACAGGATTATTTATTTATATCGAAAAGCTCAGAGTTGCAGAAGGCATCGAAGTGATTTCCCCTCGACTAGCAGCTGAAAGGCTTCGTTTATCTTGTCGAACGGAAGTTTGTGTGCGATGAACTCATCCAAGTTCACGGTCTGGAAACAGGCAGAAACAAAGAAAGAAAGTAAATTCCATTGGAGTTTTTGAAGAGCAAATTGCAGAGAGGAGACTTGAGGTTATACTTGAACCACACATGCATTGTTGGGCAAATTTTGGGATATGGGTTTTGCCTTTGAAGCCTCCAAAGATGGATCCTATAATTTGACGCCCATTGAACATCTCCATTTGCACAAAAAATCCGAATATTCGATTTTACGAAAAAAATATCCGAAACCGGATTTGGGAAAAACCGGTTTTTTTTAACCGGATGGATTTTTTTTAAACCGGTTATTTTAACCGGTTTGGAGAAAAAAACCTAGACCGGTTTTTTTACCGGATAAAAAACCGGTTTGAAAAAAACCGGTTAAAAAACAGGTTTTTATCCGGAAAAAAAAATCGGTCTGGGTTTAAAAAACTAGCCGTTAATATAGCCGTTGTGAGGGTTTTGTGACCGTTTTTGACCATTTTTTTCTTTAAAAAATTACCATTTTACCACCCTAAACATGTATAAATAGGTTGGGGATGTATTTGGTTGATTACAAATTTTTCAAATCTTATTACACAACACTTAAACATCTCTCAAATCTTACTTTTGTAATGTTTGTTCATCATGAGTAACACGGCTGAATCTTCCGTCGGGGGAAACCTTGAAGTCGTGAGAGTGATCGAACACACTCGAAACAAAGACATTTGGGATCACTACGATTTATGTGAGATGTCAAATGGCTCGAGGAGGGCGCGTTGTAAACTTTGTCTAAAGTTTCTTGCATCGGAAGGAAACACAACGTTGAAGAACCATTTGACAAAATCATGCAAGGCACTTCGCTCAAGATCAGATCCTAGTCAATCGAATCTTACACCGCAAGGTGGTGTTTTTGTTTATGACAACGAAAAATTACGAGAAGCGTTTACAAAGTTCGTGATTACAAAAGCATTGCCGTTCGACCACTTTGATGATGAAGATTTCACGATAACAATTCAACAACTAATGCAACCACGTTATACTCAAGTAAGTCGTACTACCCTTAGAAGAGATGCTATAAAAATGTGGCGTACGGCGAGGGAAAAAATGATTTTAGGATTCCAAGAACACCGTTATGGTGTGTCGCTTACATGTGACGTTTGGAGTTCCCCTCATAATACCGGAAATTCTTTTTTAGCCGTTACGTCACATTGGTTAGATCAAGATAATTGGCAAATGATGAAAAGAACAATCGCGTTTGAATTATTCGGTGAGCCACATACCGGTGCTAATTTATTTACACTTTTAAAAAGGGTAATTTGTCTTTATAAATTAGAAAATAAAGTTTTTTCTATATCCTTTGATAATGCATCGAATAATACAAACGCGGTTTCAAGATTGAAAATATTACTTTCACCGATTTTAGACGGTGCGTTTTTTCATACCCATTGCGTTGCACACATAATTAATTTATCCGTGCAAGCCGGTTTGGAGGTTATTGAGCCGATTAGATTAGAATTTAAAACAATGATAAAATCGGTTCTTTGTAACAACAACAAAAGACTAAATGATTATAAACGATTTTGTAAGTCCGTTAATAAAAAAGCTTTGGGTCCTAATTTGGATTGTCCAACTCGTTGGAACTCAACTTGGATGATGATGCATACTGCCTTAAGGCAAAGGGAAACATTGCAAACATTTCACGATCGGCTTTTCGAGAGGGGTCATGTCCCAAACATTTATCCGGATTCGAGTTGGGAAACTATAGCCAAAATAACCGATTTGCTTGAGGTTTTTAAAAATGCAACAACTTTTTTATCCGGTGTTTATTACCCTACTAGCCCGTTGGTTCTTAATCAAATATTTTTGTTGGCTACCCGACTAAATGACTTTGAATTTGAAACCGAAGTTTTTCAAGAAATTGGCTTTGCAATGAAGGAAAAACTTTTAAAATATTTTAAGGAGATTCCCCCCATTTTTACTTGTGCCGCCGCTTTAAACCCAACGTTAAATGTTGGTGGGGTTGAAACACTAATTGAACAAATTGTGTTTGCTTTTAATCTAACCGATGATGAACCCAACTTTGTCCAAAACCAAATAAATTGTTTTAACAAATGTTTTCGAGACATGTTTGCAATTTATTTAACTAAATACGGATCAAGTAGTGTAATACACGATCAAATGAGAATGAATGTGGAATCATCTAGTAGACGTCCAAGTAACATAAATTTGAATCTTTTTAACACTCTTGTAAATTCCCAATCCAAACGATCACGTACTACCACCCCAAGTAGCGAGTTGGGAAATTACATGTCATGCGATTTTCTATCAAAAATGACATTTGAAGAGTTTGAAAGTTTGGATATTTTGGCTTGGTGGAAAGAAAAGGAAGCACAATTTCCGATTCTAGCCGCCATGGCCCGTGATTTACTAACCGTCCAAGCTTCTACGGTAGCTTCGGAATCCGCTTTTTCTGTTAGTGGCAGGGTTATATCGCAACGGAGATCAAGACTAAGTCCCGAGTCGGTGGAAGTATGCATTTGTTTAAAGGATTATTTGGATGGAGCGGCTCGTAAGCAACATATCACCACCCTAGAAGATGCAATTGATACCGATTTGGAAGCAAACTTACACATTGAAGAAGTCGAACTTGGAATATCCCCTCCAAACGAAGAAGGCGAAGATGATGAAGAAGAGATGGCAATGTAGTTTATTTTTATAACTTTATTTCAATTATCGTAAACTTTGTTTCAATTATCGAACTTGAAGTTTTTAAGTATTTGAATTTATCGAACTTGGAAGTTTTTAAGTATTTGAATTTATCAAACTTGGAAGTATTTAAGTATTTCAATTATGTTGAGTTAATTAAGTATTTGAATTTATCGAACTTGAGGTTTGATACTTTCTCTTTGATTCTCTCTTGATTCCAGTTGCTTGATGTTTATTGTCTTTGATCAATGGCTTCTAAGCTTGCTTAAATACACCTTGAATCACTTCTGAATATTCTAATTTTACATCTAAATTATAACCATTTTTCTAAATTAATCCCCAAACTTTTGAATATTTCAATTTCATCATTGAATTCATCCAAATATGTAATTAGTGTCAACCATAGTTTAACCTAATATTTTTTTTTTTCAAAACATATAATAATATAACTTTACCTAACGATTTTATTAACAAGAGATGTGAATAGTATATACATACAATTTGGGATGAAATTGGAGTGTTCAAAAAGTCCGGGACCAATTTAGAACGAAGGTCATAGTTTGTGATGAAATTGAAATATTCAAAAGTTTGAGGACTGATTTAGAATGATAGTCATAGTTTAGATATGAAATTATAATATTTAAAAGTTTAGGCATTAACTTTTAGGACATGTGATGCATTTAACTCTTAAAATGAGAATATAAGGGTTTTTTTTATTATTAATCTCATGTGATTACAAGGGGTAGTATCTTATCTGGAGATTTTCAACCATTTGACAATGAATACTCAAATATCCTAAAATCGCTAATGGTCAAACCTCCGACCTTTAAGAATAACAATCATCATTTTAATACTGAGTTAGTTTGATTCGTGTCAATGAATATACAAGTTTTATTCATACTTATTTATTTATCGTAATAAAAAAACATTATACGAATAGTTTATTTACAACTGGTCGAATCTTATGTTGATTTACACCCCCATGCGACTGTGAATAGAGGCAGGACAGTGAGGAAAAGGAGTTACCATATGAGTCGACAAAAATGCTTCACGAAGAACTTAAAGGTTACCAGCACACTCAAAGCTGTAGTCCGCACCTCCCTCTGTTGTTGCGATTTAGTCTCCAAATTAGGTAATTAATTTATATAATTTTAAATTTTTATTATTTATTTTTAAAAAAATAAGGTTATGATATTCTCCAATTGCGAATTTTGTAGTTTAGTCTCATTAATTTTTTTTGAAACTAGTTTAGTCTCATTAAGAAAATTACAAATTTATCCTTAAACTATTTTAGATTTACAGAAAAAAATCTATAATTAAAATTTTATATGAAGTTCAAGGGTTGAAATAAAATATTACCCTTTCATTAAACATTTTTATATTGCCAATTTTGTATATATATATATATATATATATATATATATATATATTATGAATTTAAATTTTTTAAAGAAAATATATAAATATTTTTCAAATTGTTAAAAAACAAATATATAATAAGGACAATGTGGTCAAATATACATTCCAATAATCTTTTATTCATTTAACCAAACACGGTAATCTTACATTCATGCTAAACCAACCAAACACAAAATACAACATTCCCAGTAATCCTATTCCCTGGTACATTCCCACTGATAATTTTACATTCCGTAAACCAAACACACCATATTCTAATCCCTTCTTATGAAGAAGACTATCGTTGTAGAAACAAGGAAATCATGCAAAATCGAGGAATCACATAAATGACATGTAACTGTTACTATTACTTAATATGAAAAATAATTATATAATGCATACATACATGTAACTATACATCATAAATATATTCACAAGGTGGAGATTACCTACTTATATATACATATTGTATCTTAATGTACGTAAACAAAACTAAATAAATATAAAATAGGTGATTTACATTTTATAGGCACATTAAATTAATGAATATACTTACCATAAATCTATGCATTATTTACATATTGACGTGCAAAACAATAATTACATGGCATATACATATGTGTACACAAACATATATCATGAAATTTAGGCATAATACAAGAAATATATTTAAAATATATATAAAAAGTCAAACGAAAATTGAATCGAAAATTACGTAAAAGACATTTGATACATATGGAAAGTATTTAATATACAAATAAAAATATGACCATATATAGTATATAACAAACATATTAATATATATATATATATATTTATTACAGCACAATACTATATAAAACATATAAGCCAATATAAATTACGTACTATGCACAATATATACAAACACACACACACACGTATATTGAAGAAAATGGTAACATTAAAGACCAAACAACAACATGACACCAAACAAAGCATAAAAATGTAAATATCAGACAATATAAGCACTAACAATGGAAATAAACCATAAATAACATGCTTGACTGAAATGAAAGCTTTAAAAAAATAAAAGCTCAAAACAAGAGAAACTAAACTTCAGTTCATGACTAAAATGAAAGGCTTACAACAATAAGAACCTTCTCGCTAAATTACCCAAATAACATCAACTACGTATATAGTGACTGAAATGTAAAGCCAACAAAATTCAAAAGCCACTAAGCAAAATGCGACTTTTCTTCTCCTTGGCGGCGGCAGGAGAACTAGGGTTTAGAAACCCTAATTGTTTTAGGTTTATTGGGCTCTATTGGTTGGGCTCCAGGTCTTTAGTGTGGGCTTGTAATAGGGTTTTGGGTTTTTATTGTAATTTGGGCAAACAAAATAAAATAAAATAAAAATAATAAGTTAAAAACTCGGATAAAATGAGTGTCTACAACTTATACTTTTATTATTATATAATTATTATGTTTAAGTTTGAGTTTTATTATTAAAAATTTATTATAATTTATTAATTCAAAACCCACATTTTTTTAACTTCACAAGATTAGAAAAACTCCTCGAAAGCAATGTTTTTGAGCTTTCCGAAATCAAAGCGAAGGATGAATTTATATTCTTATGAAGTATAAAACTTCACAAAAACTGCCTCGCTGAGCAAAAAAGTATAAGAGGGAGGGAAGGAAAAATCAAAGGTTTTTGATTAATTTAAAGACGGTGAACGGTCGACAGTGAAAAATAAGTACTCCCTCTATCCTGTATTTCATGTCGACAAAACACGTAATTTTATGAGATAAATTTGATCATATTTAAAATAAGAGAAATAATAAAATTATCTTTGAAAAAGTTTTTGATAGATTTGACAGATTTATTTTAAAATGTATAAAATAGGTAACGAAAAATATAAATGTTGTTATTTATTGACCTTTTTAATAAAATATTTTGAATAAAGGAGGGGCACAACAGAGGAAAATAAAAGAGGGATCAATTGGAGTTAGCAAAAAATGTGGTTTAGAGATTAAATTAAAATATTCAAAAGTTTAGGGATCAATATAGAGCAAGGGTCATAGTTTGAGGATGAGTTCAGAATGTTTAAAATTTTAGAGACTAATCTACAACGAGTCGTGGTTTAGAGATGAAACTAGAATGTTAAAAAATCTGGAGACTAATTTAGAATGAGGGTCATGGTTTGAGGATGCATAGTGTAATTAACTCTAATTAAAATAAATACGTAATTAAGGTATCAAGCATTCATATTCTCTTGATGATGCAGAGGGATTCTGGTTCATGGTACTCTTTCGATATATGGACGAGTCAACTTATACGAGATCGAATCCCACGAGACTTCGAGTTAGACATCAATAACTCTCGACTTTGCGGCCGGTTTCGTTACTGTAAAGCTTTGCTCGATCTCCATCACGATTTTGATCCCACTAAATTATGTACTATGCTTCACCAAAAGCTATTCGAGGACTCCGTTAATTTCACCCGTGGGAACATGAAATCCCCAAAGATTTCAAGGCCGACACCGATTCCAAAATCTTTAACTACATCAACTCGACGAATAGAGATGATCGCAACAAGAACGTAGATAAGTTATTGATTACTGCGGCATTCGGAGTGTTTTAGACGAACCGCGATACTCACCGTGAATATTACGACCATGATGATGACGGTGGGATCGATGAGGAAATCGGGTTTGTGCCGGCTACTAAGTCGAGCATCGAAGCGTTGGAGAAAGTTTTGGATTTAGGGTTCGAGTTCGAGTGTGTGGTTTGCTTTCGGAGATGAAAAGAAGCAAGCTAAACGTATGCCGTGTGGGCATGTGTTCCATGACCGATGCATTGAAGAGTGGCTGGAAAAGAGTCACTTGTATCCACTGTGCTTTATGCCATGCCTTCTGATTCATGAATGTTTAGATCTAATCAATCACTATATTTTATTAATATTTAATTATTATATTTAATTTTAAATTTAAATTTTAATGTTTAATTTTTTTTTCATTAATATCTAAAAATGTCATCCAAGTAGAGAATATTATAACACACACCAAGCAATAATGTCATCAATTCACAACAAGCTTAAAAATGCAAATTCAAATTAAATATATTCCCAATATTCAGTTTATTTCATTCTAGTTCCCTACACAATCAAACCCTTAGCCTAAAATATCGAGTTTGAGCTTCAATCGAATCGAATCTGAAAATGTTCTAAGTTTAATTTTTTTTCGAGCATGAGTCGAGCTCAACTTTAAACTTTTCGAGTTGAATCAAATTCGACAACACTCAAACTCGATCCGGCTCGTTTACAACCCTACCATAATATCGAATTCAAAAGGAGCAATCGAAGAAAATATGGTTCGATTCAAAGTTCAAAGAATTTTGAAGATAAGATTTAAATGGAACCTTGGCTTACATAAAAAATTTGACGTCACAATTAAATGGTCACTAAAGATCTTATTTCTTGTAGTTGATGGATAGAACAGAGTAAACGTATTCAATAAAGTAATATTAGAATATTATATTGGACTAAACGCCGTTCTTGTAGGAAAAGGATTGCATATTTAGCGTTTTACTTGAGTTAAAGATGTGTGTATATAAAGAAGGGAACTAAAGCACTTTTCATCAAAACAATTGGAAGATAATAATAATAATAATAATTAAAATTTTAGATAAAACGAGTGTTTACAGCTGTCCTTTTTTGTTCATTCTTGTGTTAACAAGAATAGGGTCAAGAAAAAAGACAACACGTTTTTGTACGGTTTCGTGTTGATATTGTCTCAAGTGAGACTGAAAATGAACAATATCTTAAAAGAGATTATTTAAGATCAAATCTGAAGAGAGACATGCTCTGCTACTCTACAGGTAAGGCTGAGCAACGAAACCGAGAAAATCGAAAAACCCACACGAACATAGTTAAACGGTTCGGTTTCGGGTTGATTTAAAGAATAAATTCTATTGATTCGGTTCGGGTTTTCCATATGAAACCCACTTATTCCATATTGAACCGAATATGCAATTTTTTTTTTAATTTATAGTTTCAAGTGAAAAAACAAAAAAGTTAGAGACCAAATCATAAACTGATCAATTTGATCCATGGCCCAATTAATGCTCAACAAAATATAAATCTAAAAACATTTTGATAAGGACATCTGAAATAAACATTTTTCCAGACTATATGGGAACTATAGTTACACTTTCTTCAGAAAACTCAACACCAAATGCACAAATATCCAATTCAATTGATGATATCATAAATTTATGAACTTCACAGGCTGGCTGGCTTCCAAGTGCAAACTGGGAGTAGCTTCACGGTGCCACCTAAAGAAAGCCCTCAACCCCTCGGCCGGCGCGAGCCTCCCGATAAATCACGAGTGCTTCTTCCATCACTTGAGCTTGAGCCAGCAACTGAGCTCTTTTCCTTCCTGAAGGATGCGTGGACAGATAATCTTGCATTGCTGAATCCCCTGCAACCTTCCCTAACTTCTCAAACACTTTCGGAGCAACTCGAGGATCGTAGCCAGCAGATGCGAGCAACAACAGCCCGATGTAATCGGCTTCAAGTTCCATCCTGTTAGAGATCACATAAGGGTTAAGTACTGAGAACGACGGAAAGAACGAATGGATCTATCTTTCATCAGTCCTCTTGCCATATTTCTACATTTAAGCACAATTAAAATACACTAGAATGCATTTGTGCTTAGTGTCAATTAGAAGAAAATCCGGGTTACACCATTGACGGAACCGTTGGGACATGGCGAAGATCTTTAGCAATTGACATTTGAGGGATAAGGGAAACCCCAAACCAGAAACAGTTTAAACTTTCTCAAAGCCTAAAAAGGAACTCATAAAGGCAAGGTTCATAGGCATGAGTCCAGAATCTACAGAAAACATCACTTCGAATCTCTTAAACAACAGTTTATCCAGAGGATTAGGATCAATATGAAGTCCGTTTATCGGTATCGACTTCTTAGTTCTCACATCTTACTGCCCAATGAAGGAGTATATAATAAAGAAGATAACGATGATAAAATCAATCGCAAAATTCATCATCACAACTCTCAAACTCTATTTTGAAGTAACCGGAATCTAAGTCTGTAAGAGATTGTCGTTGCTTTGCAATTAGTATTGCAGAATGCACGCCTATGAAGAACTAAACTGGATCATATATCGAAACTAAAAATGCATTCAAAAAACTATAGACGAGTCCATCTATTGAGACAGATAACATGAGGTCATGAATTCTGTGTGTTCCAATGATAGCATCAAACATATCTGTGTGCATAAAGTATACACACCACACATGAAAAATTTATCAAAATTTCAAGTATGAAACCTGTGTGACGAAGGCCACTCATTTATACTTTCCGAACACACGATGTTCTACCAAGACACTGCTTGATATCATCAAACCATTTGATGACAACAAAATTTCAGAGAAAACTCAGTGTTTTCGCAATCCTTTTAGAAAAAACTCCAATTCGGCTTATAAACAATATAATTCAATTGACATAGATACCTCCGAGAGAAGGGGAGCCTCAAGAGAAGTGCAGACATTGTGTTGGCCAAATCAGGCATAATGAACTGATAAAGTATCAATTGTAGGATGGAAAACCACAGATTCTTCGTAATCGATTCGGCGATATGTCGAGCCACCGCATGTCCAACCTAAACAAGATAACACAACTAAGACGACATCATTCCCATATCCATAAAAGAAAATTGACAGCAGAAACTAATAAGCAATATATGAGTGTTATATATATATATACCTCATGTCCAATTATGGTTGCTATCTCGGGATCACTTCGAAAATGCTCAAGCAACCCTGTAAACACCACAATTTTCCCACCAGGCAAACACATAGCATTAACAACAGGCTCTTTAATAACCAGAACTTCCCAATTCAATCCAGCCAAATGAGATGTTGTAGGCTGTGATGATCCTCTCTCTTGGTTTTTCTTCCTACTTTTCTGAACCCATTTATCATTGAGAATCTCATCTTCACCGGACCAGGTCGCACTCAATCCCGTCACCCTTTCATGTACAAATTCATCTCCGAGTGAACTCTCCGGCGATCCGTACTCCAACTCAGTACCTATCCGATCATGGCTCAACCCTCTTTGCAACGAATCGATAATATCTTTAGCTATCAGCCTCACTCGAACGCTTTCAGGGTGTACAGCAGGCAAAATCTTTCCCTTGTAAGCTGCTTTCAGTTTCTCAAATTGAGACTCACCCATCTTCTTCTCCATTTCTTTAGACAAGAGCACTAAATGTTTTCTCTTTGTATAAGGAACAGTTTCTAAATTACCGAAATACACGGTGATTAGAACACCCGAACCGATCAAGACGACGATCAACGCATTCCTTGGATTCTTGATCCACCGTTGCGGACCCCGTCGCCGGAAATGTTGAACATGGTATCGATCGACGTAGTAAAATCTCTTTGCGCCGTAAAGGAAGGGATTGTTACAATGGTTATTAGAAATTCCTGGTCTTGGTGAGAACAAAGAATATGAAGAGAACCCAGAAAATTTTGATGAAATCGAAGAAGACCCGAGGTTCTGGGAGAATATCGAAGATGAATCTCGGATTTGTGATCTGAAAATAGGTATTGAACTGAAACTCTGGCGCAATGTATTAAAGGCAAGCTTCGCCCTTCTGCAGTAAGCCATGATGTTGCAAAATGGTATTAGGCCTTGTCGATTGGTTCAAGATGAACACCGGCGGCTTGTAGACCAGAAACAATAGGAGAAAATTTCCCAGGAAAACGATGACTTCGAAAAAATTACAACTGAACTATGACAAAAGATAGCGGTACAGTTCTGGTACTTTCTCGCACTCAAAATTCATATGAATATAGTGGGTAAAGTGCATGTCTGGTCACTAATATTTTATTTGGTTCTATTTTGATCATATAACTTTAAAGAATCTTTTTGGGTCTTTAATATTTTAACATTTGAAGTTTTAGTCCTCCGTAGTTAATGTTTTAACATGGCCCCGTTTGGTTCACGAAATATTTCATTCTTGGGGGAATTTTTTTTCAGGTTAAAGATACCGATGTTTAGTTTCTCCACATTCCTAAGTATCAGTCAAAAATTAATATCAACAATGTTTTTTTTTCTGTTTCCCCGGAAATGATAGTCCCCCATTTCCCCTTAGGTATTTGCTTATTCTCGTCGACTGCTTCCTAAAATATCATTCTCCCCGCTTGGTTCTGCTGAAACAAAATCTTCTTATTCTTCGATTTGGCGTTGATTTCTGCTTCTGGCGTATTAGGTATTTGCTTGGAGCCCTTCTGAAGACGAGAATTCCTTCCCCTGCTGAAGACGAGAAAAAGCTTAGAGCCCAGCAATTCTCTCAAGGTTGGAATTTTTATTCTTTCATTTCCTTTTTTTTGCAACTGAGAAATCGTAAGGAAATTTCTCTTCTCCTTTTTTTAAATATAATTTAACCTGATATTCATTCGGATGTCTAAAATCAATCACATAAGAATGTTTTTTTTCTTGAAACGAATTTGTTTTTCCGTCAAATGCAATTGTTAATGGGTTTGATTTTTGTTCGATCCACAGAAGCTTTTTCATTATGTTCTTCGGTTCTAATATCACATTTAGATTATATTTTGGTTTGGAATCATATATGTAATTGAACCTTTTTTCGTTTCTTTAGGGCCGGTTATGACCAAGTTTACCATAGCATTGAGAGAAATTGGGACATACAAGGAAGTTCTTCGGTCCCACGTAATTCTTTGAACTATCGTTTTAACATGAATTCAAATTTATGACTGAGGAGTAAGGACCTAAGATAACTGGTTTTGGATAAACTTACTCTTTGGCATTCTCCAACTGCTTCTGTGAATACCTGGTGAAAGGAAATGATAATCATTTAGAAATGTCAGTAGTAACTAACCTTTTGTTGGTTGTTTTCTTCGTGGATATTTAACACCATCTATGTTCTATAAAACTGTCATTTCTTTTCAAAATTGTGAGAATATAAATTTTACTGCTATATTGAACTTTGACACTATATAGTTCATTGTCCAATCATATTAACATACAATAATATTTGTGAAATGCTTTCTTTTCTCTTTAGGTTGAAACCGAGCTAAATGACAAATTACTGCAGTTTGTCAATATTGATTTACTTGAGGTCAAGGTAATCGCATGTCTCTCAATTGAGATTTAAGTTACCCTATAAAGTTATGAGGATTTGGAACTAGCTAAAAGCTGGGCTGCCTTATTAACTTTTGTTATGTAAAAACAGTCTTATCAAGAGAAACATAGGTTATTTATTTATCACTTTGCTATAGATTCATCCAACTTCTTATAATCCGTGTATTATTCTAGATCATGTATTTTTTTATTTGTAAGCTTTTTGTTTTAAAATATCTTATCTGAGTGCAGGAAGCACGTAAACACTTTGACAAGGCTAGTCTCATTTACGACCATGTGCTTTAGAATTTAAATTTATTTTTCTTGTATAGTTTGTTAGCTTGCTTTATTTTCATTGATTGAATGTGATAATATAATTTGGAGTTGGCCTAAAATCGAATTAATTGTTACATTGTATTGCTTTGTGTAATCTTGCAGGCTCGTGAAAAGTTTCTCTCACTGAGAAAAAGTACAAAGAGTAATATTGCCAATGTTTTAGAAGATGTATCTTGCAAAATGGCTTGCTTTAATGGTTTATAATCTCATGTATCTGACATTCTTACTTGCTTAGTTATAATGTTGATAGATATTTTAGTCTGACATGGTTGACGTTATTCTAGGAACTTCATAATGCAAGGTCAACATTTGAGCATGCTCGTTTTAATCTAGTGAGTGACTTGCTAGCAGATGATTTCTAAATTGATGTCGCTTTGATAGTTCAAAATTGGTTCAAAATGGTAATTACACTACCGTGGTTTACAATTACAGGTAACTGCTCTTTCAAATGTTGAAGCCAAAAAGCGATTTGAGTTTCTGGAAGCTATCAGTGGGACTATGATTTTGCATCTTCGATACTTCAAACAGGTTATCACATGGCATGACTTCTCTATTCTTTCTCATTGTTCCAAATTTCAATCACTTGCTGAATGCATTGCTCACGACTAACTTTGGTCATTTATAGGGCTATGAATTATTGCATCAAATGAAGCCATATATTAATCAGGTTTGTTTAATAACTTCCCTCTAGTCCGAGACATATCTTTCCATCTCTGATTGTGTTGTATTTTATTCATCCAATTGTTCCTTAAAAAAATAATATCCCTGTATCGATTATGATATCAGTTGTTTAAGAGATTAGTCATAGCATGTTATAAGATGCACGACTTATGATTGGCTTTCCCTTTAAAGCAAACCAAAGCAAAAAGGGATCTTGTAACTTGAATTGATGATTCCATGATATCTGCATGGCATCATATTGATCTGAATATCCATTAAGGACATAGAAATAGGAGAAAAATTGCAATGACACACCACATTCCTCGAGTAATAATATGGCTATCTTTGTTCGTTAACAGCATCGATTGCAGCTTACTTCATTATTATTGATAAAATCGTGTTGGAAAGTGCTCGGAGAAATTCTCGAGCTCAGTTGAACAAAAATGTTTGAATGTCAGAATCAAAGGTAATGGCAAAGGTTCCAAGGGTCACTATAGTTTAATGTTGCTAAGCTGTTTTATGGCAAATGATGCGCCCCCCCAATAAAGTTGTTTTAAGAGTAAACAAATGATTATTATAAAAATAGAGTAAACAAACGATGTTTTAGGTTTCTGTTTACAACCATGAGGTTATATTTCTTGTATCCTTTAACTTGAAACTAAGCCAATCTTTTGACTTAGATAATTTTTTGTGTATATAATATAGCCAACATATATGATTAAGTTTAGAATGTCATAGCTATTATCTTTTGTAAGTCTGAACATTGTACAAACTTTTGATGGTTAATGTTATACTTCTTTTTGTTATGTAGTATATGCCTTGCAAGTAATGTGCTAGTTTTCGAATATGTTAATTATTTTTTATAAATTTAAATATTATATTTTTAGATAAATTATGTAAAATTTAATTAAATGTTGAAGCAGTGAAAGTTAAAAATCCCTAATATTGAACATTTAATTAAATGTTGAAGTAAAATTTTAATATATTTTTATATAAATTATGTAAAATTTAATATTAATTAAAATTAAAATAATACATGATATATTTAAATAATAAATAATATATTATCGATGAATTTTATATAATATATTTATTTAAATATATTAGATGAATTTTTATATAAAATTTTTATTTAATAATTAGAATTTCACGTACAAAAATATAGAACAATGTCAATTTGGTAAAATATACATTCAGTAATCTTTTATTCCTTCAACCAAACATTGTAATCTATTTTGATCCATTTTAGTACTTATATTTTTAATTTGTTTTCAAAACCATACCCAACATTTAGTTTTTGTTTCAATTCAACACACCTCTGATAAAATCTTAACGCATTTATTACCTAAACTATCAATTATGGTCCGTTTTAGTACCTAAATTTTCATTTTTTTTTCAAAACTTAACGTTAAATTTTGAACGAGTACTAAAATGAAACAAAAACTAAAATTAAGGTATGATTTTTAAAAAAAATTAAAAATTTAAGTACTAAAATGGATTAAAAATTGATAGTTTAAGTATAAAACATTGAATTTACCCTGATATTTATATGTTCTATTAGATGAAAGTTGATGGTAACAATGTATGATATGTTGATGGTAGATGTTTCATTTCTTTTAGTTATAATTTATATATCGATCCTTAGTACATGAGTGTCAAGTTCAGAATATGTGTCAATTTTAGGGTAATGATTGTCATTCGTACGTCGGTCAAATGAATTGATTAGACTATCATGTAACAGAGTTCGTCAATGATAGATTTAATAATAATCTATTCAAGTCGCTACAATTGTCTTCTTTCGTACGACTCTTGAAATTTCATAGGCATTAACCATAAGAGAGGTACAACAATTGGTCTTAATTCTAGATAAATTGAATCTTATAAATTTGTAAAGCCTATCAATTTGATATTAATTTTAAAAGTATAAAACTTAAAAATTTACATAAAATTTACTAACATCTTTTAAAATTTCAAACTAATTAAAAAAATAAAAAGAAAGAAAAAGAACGCTAATAAAAAATTAAAAATAATGCCAACAACAAATAATAATGTGGTGAAAACTTATCTCATTCATCTTAATTTTATAGTTTCTCTTATTTGTGATGTGCCATTCATTCTTTTGATTTTTATCTTTATTGATCGGTGACGACACCAACTTTGATATTGATTGTCGACCGCTGGTAATTTTTTATTGTCCTTTTATTTTTTATATCATATATTTATTTTCCATTTTTTTTAATTTTTGATAAGTCTGCTTTTATGACACGTTTTCATATGTCTTTATGACACGTTTTTCTTTGTCTTTTGGAACATTTTTCGATCGTTTGGTCGTTGTTTTTCATTTATTATTTTTAAGTGTTGATTCGACGTTGTCACGACTAATCAAGATTATGCTTCTCTGTTATCATGTTGATCTTTTCAATTTTGGACCTTCAAATTTAATTTGGATACTTGATTTACGTTTGTGGATAGTTTTTCCACGTCGCTCAACTCTGATTTGCGATTTTGTCGATAGTCTTTCAATAGCTTGATCCATTTTTACAGTTCGTTTGTCGATGATATCAGATCTGTTTGTATCTATCCTTGTTTGAGTTTTTGATAAATTTTTTTAATCTTTTCTTGTATGGTCCTTATATGATCTTAAGTTGTTAATTTTGTGTTAATAATTTCATATAATTTCGTCATCTCCACCATAAATGTCTTGTAATTCCAACATCTTCTTTATCATACTCTAAATATAATTTTTCTTGAAAAAAATAATCTTCGATAACCATTACGAGAAAACTTTTTCCTCATTTTCCTAGTCGACTGGTTTTTCTTTTTAAAAAAATAGTAATACATTTTTAATTGTCAAAACTTAAAAAATAGGAATAACTGTCGCCTATTGGCTGTAGGCAAAACTTCGTATCCAAAAACATCTCAAGTACAAGGGAACTTCTATTGCAGTTGCGGTTGCAGTTACAGTCAGCATCACAACTATGGAGGACATGTTATGATGTGATTTATTTCTTAAAATTAATTATATTTTTATGTTACGGTTAAAGTTTGCGGTGTCACAGTGACTTTGAAGAATGTTACGATGCAGTGTTACATTGCGTTGCGACCGCAATTTAATACTACAACAATCTTCTGAAATCATTCTTGGTGTTGTGCAGAGCTCCGGCGAAGCAAAACAGGATTTTCCGATAACAAAGTCTTGCCATTTCAGGATGTTAGAATCTGATCGGGAGTGGAATATGATTGGATAAGGTATGCCAACGTCGAGGTAGTCTCAGGAGTTCTGTTCGATCGAGTTCTGTGTGATGTTTCCCATACCATGTAAGTTGTCACACCCCAATTTTTATTGGTTTTGATTGTAGTTAATTATAAGGACCAAATTATAAAATTTGAAGAATCCCCTATTGTTTAGTAAGTCTCCGAGGAGTTTTGTTCGATCAAGTTCCGTGTGATGTTTCCCATACCATGTAAGTTGTCACACCCCAATTTGTACCGATTTTGAGTCTAGTTAATTATAAGGACTAAATTGTAAATTTTGAAGAATCCTATGCTGTTTAGTAAGTCTCTGATTAGTTCAAGGTCTTAAACCTTGTTTTCTCCATCATTAATTGATTTGTAAATAAAAATAAAAATAAAAATGTGTATGTGGTTCAATAAAGTTTGAACTCATGTCCTTTAGAATTTTTAGCCTAAGCCCTAGCCATTTAGACTAGTTACTATAGTTAATGGATTCATTAAAAATATTTCTATTAATTTTAGATCAGTTTTCTATCCTTAACCCTGCATCTTTTTTTCAATTTTTGGTTTTTGCTCGTATTCTAATTTTTTCATGTTCACTCAATATCCACTATTTTGTCTCATTCTCATTCAACGATCTTTGGCCGACGGTGGATTACATTGTCACCCTCAGTGTTATCGACGACCTCATGTGACCGAAACCTCAACGGCCAACCACCCTGAACAATTTACGTTGGTCTCAAATCACATGAAAATCGTTCGAAAACCCATTTTTTAATATAGGCCATCGTTTTTCAGTAAGTGTCACCATCGACACCAGTCGATACGCCACCTCATCTCGATCAAGACCCCGGTGACCGATCTCTGAGCCTCGCTGTCGTATACCGTGGAGAACCCTCGAAAGCTTCACCGGAGATTTTAACTTCCCCATTGGTTTTTTTCGTTTGGTAGCGATTCTAACGTCGGTTCGCCTCACCGACTCTACCTCTAAGGTCCCCGAGTTCGTCCGACCAAAACCCAGTCGGGTTTGCCCCTCACCGACAAGGCTTCCGTCGTTCGTTGTTAG